CTCTTTGAAGCCCGCGAGCCTCTCCTCATGGCGTCGCCCCTGCTGCTCACAAGAAAGGCGCCAGCGGGTCAGCCGGGGCGGAAGGGTGAGCAGCTCACGCCAGGATGGCCGCGTGAGCCCCGATGCGCAGCTCGCCGGGGTGGGAGGCCCGGGAGGGGCCGCTGACGGACAGACTTCAGGGTCAGCTGCACCCATGGGTGGACTTAGAACTGATAACTTCTCATGCTGAGCTCGCTGGCCCACGAAGAGCTGAGCCAGCCCCGAAATGCGTTGGCGATCACCCTCCTGCCACAGCTCCTGGCTTGTCTCCGGGAAGGTCTGCATCAGGAGGCGTGCCAGAGCCAGACGTCCCTTCGCTGCTCACCCAGTGCTCACGGGGCCCCGCCCACGTGCCCCCCGGGGGTCGTGCGAGGCCCTGGGACCTGGGCCGAGCCCTCAGCTCCAGGACGGTGCCCCGCCTGCCGGCAGGAGTCTGCCTTCCGAGTGGTGAGTTCCAGCCCTGACTCTGCCCCCGACCAGGTGACTTTCTCCGAGCCCTTCATCCTCTACCTTCTAAGACTGGGGTGCAAATTAAGGAGGGAATGCTGGCAAAATGCTCGCTTCATGCCTGGCACAGAGTTGGACACTTACTAGCTATTATTTATTTTTATTATTATCATCATTAATCGCTGGTGTGGTTAAGACAGCATTTAAAGGTCATTTAGAAAGCAGGATGTTAGAATTCAACAGAGCTGTTACAGGAACTCAGAAATCATCTTGGAGAAACTCACCTACCAGCTGCCCCCAAAAGCGGATTTTAGGGGAACGTGATTACCCTCTGACTGGCCATCAAGAAACCAGGGATGACAGGATGGGCGGGCGGGCCTCCCGGGGACACACGTCCCTCCACACCTTTGCTGGTCCCCGGATTGCCTTCTCCTCCCGTTCGCTGGCTGCGCGGCCGGGAGAAGGATGAGCAGGTGAGGATGGGGTGGGACAGAGGATGGGAGGGGTGAGCCGGACGGAGTGGGCAGGACCTGGGAAACTGAAAGACGTGATTTCTGATCCAGGCTGCTTCCTCCTCTTCTGGACGAAACGCAGAGGCAGGATCTTTCAAACCCTTCCTGCGTCTGAGTTTTTAAAATCTCAGCTGATGCACCGAAGTGAGTCACTGGTTCCAGGTTGGGACGGAAATGCCAATCTGCTCCTCCCCCACCCCCACCGGTGCATTTCCTTCTGGTCATTTGCCCAATTGTTAGACGTCTTAGCACCGAAAGCCGAGCGCTGTGTGCAGGAAACCTTTCCGGGCAGAAACTGCAGACCCATATGGTGATCCCAGTTCATGGGCAAAGGGACAAAAATGCCCTCATAATTCTCAATACGATTTACTTAATATGAATCCTTAAAAATTTTCGGCTTAACTTTCTATCTTGGCTTCACTCTAAACAAAAATAACTGTAAAATAACCACGTGGAGGTGAATGCAAATGGTTTTCCTGTTAATGTTGTAAAGGCAGGAGTCTGTATGTAATAATATCTACCTGCATTCCACCTAAGATCTCTGTGTGCCAACAGAGGGACGTACCGGCACTTAGACAACTCTGGAACAGTGGAAACTGCAGTGGCTTCCAGCCGGCGGGCCTGGTGTGGCCCCTGCTAGCTGTGTGACCCTGAGTCGGTGGCTGAACCTCTCTGGGCCTCAGTTTCCTCATTTCTCAAACAGTGTGGTAGTGAGGGTGAAATTGAAAGGGTCATTGCTGGCACCGAGAAGTCCTTCTAAATGGCTTGCTGAAGTCTGACCATGGATGCACGTGGTCCAGGAAGAGGAAAAGGGGAGGAGAGAGTTAGCAATAGCCATCACTGTGAACGTGGTTCTGTGTTCACCCCGGTCCCGCTTGTCTGTTCTCACGACTTGCTTTATACGTGTTCATTATCATATCGATAACCCTCCATGGTTTTCATTTTTATGATTCCCATCGACACCTGGGCAAAAGCAGACTCAGGAAAGAAGCTGCCTTGACCAGGGTGGTACAGCTGGAAGGTGGCAGAGCCGGGTCCCGGAAGAAGCCCTGATCCCAAAGCCTGTGCTCTTCTCCGCAGCTCTGCATCCTCTGTGTGTCAGGGCGGGGCCGGCCCGGAGAGCAGCCCCCTCCAGGTGAAGCGGGAGACGAGCTGTGTGCAGGGGCCCAGGTCTGGAAGACGGGGTCTGGGTGGGGATGGCAGGGATGGGATGCGGAGAGGGAAGAGCGGACACTTCTGGGTCATGGGCTGCACACGCATCACTGAGCTGAGCATTGCCCACGTTTACCGACCACTTCACTTCCGTGCTCCATGTGGGGGCCCGGCCATCACCCCCACTTTGCAGATGAAGAAACAGAGGCCCAGAGAGGTCACGAGACATACTTGCAGTCACACAGTCAGTGAGTGGCAGAGTCGAGCTTTCAGCCCTGCATTCTGCCTTTAAGCCTTTCATTTATATATATAGTGTATGTTCTCTAAATCTATAAACATACATGATACATAAATACGTAAACATGAAATACATAATACATAAATATATAAAATATAAATGTAAAATATATAAATACAAAGTAAATATATACACATAGAGAGAGAATCCATAAACCATCACAGCTTTAAAGGTGAAAAACTTGGTGATTTTCACTCTGTTCTCAGAACTGTCCGGCCATCACCACCGTGTCTCATGTTAGACCAGTGCCATCACCCCAGAAGGGAAGGTCCCACCCGTCAACAGTCCCTCCCCAGCGTGGCCCCGGCAACCACTAACTGATCTCTGTCTCCATGGATTTGCCCGTCCTTAAACCTGAGTCCAGGTTCTCCAAGCTCATCCACGGTGTGGCGGGCGCGTGCTCCACCCCTCCTTAGGGCTGAGCCGGGCTCCGTTGCGTGCACAGGCCACGCCTTGTGCATGGACCGTCGGTGGAGGGACATTTGGGGCTGTTTCCACCGTTGAGCCAGTGGGGACGGGGCTGCCTTGCTGCTCGAGTGCCCATTTCTGGGCGGACGTGTGGTTTCCTGTCTGCGGGGCACACCTAGGAGGGGGACTGCTGGGTCACGTGGGGCCACTCTGTTTAACCTTCGCGGATGCGCCAGGCTGTTTCCGCAGCGAGGGCCCTCCGTCTCCTCACCAGGGGTCTGCATGGATCTGACAGCTACTGCGAAAAAGGCATCAGGGTCGTCCTGAGGGCCTCTGGGCCACCAGACTCCATCCTTTCTGGACTAGAGCCCTTCCTCCCCACACCAGGGATGATAGTTCGCCTCTCAGTGACGGTTCTGCGATCTCCAGGCTACAGAGAGCCCCCATCCCGAGGTCACGCTGCTCCACGGGGCCCACGGGCAGCCGCTCACTGGTAAGTGCCAGGGCATGAAGACGTGTCCTGTGCCCCAGTTGGGACAACTCTGCAGGGCCATCCCAGCCTCAGGGCCCCCGAGGGGTAGGGAGGGCTCCCAGTGACCGTGCAGCCACTCAGCCTCCGCCTCTGCCCAGCCTTCTGTCCTCCTCCCCGTACCTGCCGCCCTGCTCACCTGCTGCTGTGTGATGAACTGTCACCAAGTCCAGACTCCTTCTGCTTGCCACACGACAGGCCAGCACATCGGGAGATGAGGTTTTGGGGCAAGGAATGATGACTTTATTCAGAAAGCCAGCAGACCGAGAAGATGGGGGACTAGTGTCCCAAAGAACCATCTTCCCTAAGTCAGAATTCAGGCTCTTTTTATACTGAAAAGGGGAGGGGGTGTGGCTGGTTGTCGCAGGTCCTTGGTGTCGGAATCCTTTGTTCTTGCATCTGTCCCTGTCGGTCAGGTCACGATGTCTCTGTAAACCTCCAACAAGACACATGTGACTCTCTGTCCTGTGGCTTTTTGTCCCTATATGAATGGGAATGTGCCCTACCCTTAAGGTCAGAGCCTTGAGAACGGGCTCTCCTGTATGTTTCCGGCTCTGGGCAACATTCTTTTATAAAAGGTGCAGAACCAGCCTGCCTCAGCCCAGGAGACAGAGCCCGGGGTTGGAGCTAAAGAAATAGATCTCATAAAGAGTCAGATGTGTTCTTCCTTATTGCAGAATCGCCCCAACATTTAGCAGCTTAAAACGACAATAGTCATTTTATGACATGTCCGGGGGTTCTGGACAGTCAGGCCGGTCCCCCTTCCCGTGCAGTAGGTGGCAGAGAACTTAAGGACCAGTCTAGTTGTACCAAACACCGCTGAGGTCACCTCAGGCCTTGCAGGATTTGGCTCCCCAAACCCAGGCCCTGGTACCTGGCAGGCCCTTGGTAAGTGTGTGTCCACTGAACTGAGTGGTGAAACTTCCTGGCCTCTTCAAACTCAGAAACAGAATCAGCTTGTCCCGCAGATCGCCTGTTTCTACGACATTTATTCTGTAGAAACATTTGCATCCTAATACTCTTCATAATGCACTTTCCACGTGTGTAAAATGGGGGTAATAATAAGAGAGCATCACACAAGTCAGCTCAGACAGCGCAACGCGGTTGTGTCCAGCCAGTGCCTGGGATGGAGCAAATCCACGGTGAATCTTCTGTTCCTCTTTCCAATGCTGCGTCTATCACTAAGAGTTCATTTTTATAAAAATCCCCACATTTTGAAATTTTGTAAAATCCAAGACTTTGTGCACCCAATAGAAAAATGGTCCCCGTTCAGGTTAATTTCAGCTCACTTGGTCGGCCTCATCCCCTAAAGAGAGCTGACTGCTTGTGGTCCACTTTCCATGGAACTGTTGACAGGATGCAATATGATCGCAAGTGCAAAGATCCTGGGGTAGGGCGTGACTCCCAGTAATAGCTGAATAAATCTCAGTCCTCGTATCAATAATTACAGCTCTCCATTTTCCTCCCCCTTCAGCTTCCCCTGGCTTGGCACTGCCGGGATCCACCGGGTATCTCTCATCTCCAAAAGTTCACAACTGCTTGGAAACGGAAAACTTGCAGGGCCTGAAGCCGAGAGAAAACACACGTGGTTAACTGCCCATTAATCTCTGTCAGTCTGTAGCTGCAGACATCAGACACTGGGAGGCAGAAAGAACGAGTCACAGGACTATTTTCCCTTAAGCACATGTTTCATATTAGAGATCTGGTGACTAATAAAAGCGCTCTGCAGAGGGAGAAAAGGAGACAAGTGTGGTACAGTTGGTGGGTTGCCCGTATAATGTGGAACTGCTGAAATGTAACGGGGAAGGAAAAATCTGACTCCGCAGTCGATCTGTTCCTTTGGCTCTGACCCTGGGCGCTGTTTCCTGGGCTGAGTCAGGCTGGTTCTGCACCTTCTGTAAAAGAATGTTGCCCAGAGCCTGGAATAACCATGACAGCCCTTCTCAAGGCTCTGACCTTTGAGGGTAGGACACGTTCCCATTCATATAGGGACAACAAGTTGCAGAACAGAGAGTAACATGTGTCTCGCTGGAGGTTTACGGGGACACCATGACCTGACCTATGTGGACAGCTGCAAGGACAAAGGATTCCGGCACCAGGAAGTCTGCAACCACCAACCACACCCCCTCCCCGTTCAGTGTAAAAGGAGCCTGAATTCTGACTTGGGGAAGATGGCTCTTCAGGACATGAGTCCCCCATCTTCTCGGTCTGCTGGCTTTCTGAATACAGTCACCATTTCCTGCCCCAACACCTCATCTCCCGAATTTTGGCCTGTCCTGCAGGGAGCAGAACCGTTGGACTTGGCGACGTGTGTGTCTAATCTACGTGTATAAATGTGCTCGGTGTCCTTTGTGAGAGTAGTTATATAAGTGCCCACGTCTGTACATCTGTGTCTCTACTTAAATACATGCACACACCTTCTGCTTTCCCTCCTCAGACGGTAGCACTCTGCTCATGCAGTTCAGTGTTTTACTTCATTCACTTAACCATACGTTCTGGAGATCAGTCCTTACCCCTTGAAATGCCTTCACCTTACTGCACTGTGTAGACGGGCCCTCCCTTATGTTATCATGTGACTGGCCACGTAGGCTGCCTCCCGTCTTTGGCTATGATACATATGCCATGTGGATGTCACGTGGGCAAGCCTTCCTAAGTCCGAGTCTTATTTCAGGGTCACATCGTACGTGCGTTTCAAAATCGGATACTAGCTACCCTCCCTGTAGGTTGCCCCCTTCAGGTGCACGTCCATCGGTGACATGTGAGAGCAGGTACGGGTTGTAAGCAGCTGCCCAGGAGATTCTGGTGCGCAGGGACGTGTGAGAGCTGTGATGCTTGGGGCAAGGTGCTGCTATCAGCTTCCGAAAGCCGCAGCCGAGGAAAGGCTGAGGGAGGGCGCTGCTTTGCAGGTGGATGTTGAAGGAAGAGGGGTCATGGACCAGCCCAGCCGAGCAGGAGGGCCGGCTCTGTGATGGCACGTGTGAGCTGAGAAGAGCAATTCTGCTTGCTGTCCCAGGACCGGGGCTTCGCCGCGGGGGTGAGGTGGGGGTGCCCAGGGACTGGCCCGCCTGTCGGGACATCCCTCCCTTTCAGCTGAGCGTCCCGGACTGTGGTCCCCTTTCCACGCCTGGGTTGTTCCAGCCACCGTCATCACCACTCGAACAATGGCAAGGGTTCAACTCCCCGAGCAGGTTTTTTTAATGTCACGGTTGGTTACGTCCTGGGGAGAAGTGGCTGCAACTCTGTTGTCCTGCTAAAAATTATGTTTCTTATTTTCAAATGAAATGCTGTGCTGTCTGGACTTGGCTTCAAAATAACCCACAGGGTAGATGGAGTGAGCGAGGGTAAAGATAGTACCAGATCGGCCCTGAACTGATGCTCACTGACGCTGTCTGATACGTACACAGGGATTCATTACATTTTTCTTTATATATATATATATATTTCAAATTTCCTATAAGAAAATTTCCAGTAAATGTTCCTGGCCAAGATACAGAGATGGCTAAATGCGCTCTGGTTCCTTCCAGCCTAGTCTATGAAGACATTTGAGTGGCAGCTGCGAATGTAAAGGGCCCAGGTTAAAACAGAGTTGAAAGCCACTTTTCTGTGCCATGGGCCCCCCCCCCAATTTCCAGAATCCTCCCCCTCTTTCATCTCCTAAAGACAAAAATTCATCAGAAACTCTCCTGACAGCACCTAGATCTCTTGAATGGGCTAGAAAAATATTTCAAGGTCTCAGAGTAATTTAATGCCCTATGAAAGTAAAATAAATTGTGTACAAATAATTGAATAAGCTCGGGGAAGTAGGGGGCAAAAAAACATTAAGCATGTCACAGATGGCACCTCCAGGCAGTTTATCAAAGCAAGTTTCATAATTTAACAAAATCATCTTGGCATCGCACACAAAAGCCCGCCTGTTTGATCCTTTAATAACACTGCTTAGCACTTTCTGGGGAGCTGGCTTCCAGCGCCCGGGCTGTTTCCAAGCATTAGCTAATCAATCATCAAAAGATACTTTCCACGCAGGCAGGCAGGACTCGGAAGGCTCTCTTGATCCCCACGGATGTGGCAATGGAAGTTAAGAGGCTTTTGCAAGGTCACAGAGGGGGCAGAGGTCACAGCTGGGGTGGCAACTAATGAGTCTCGGGTTCCGTCGGTGCTCCCGACGGCGCCCCTGCTGCCCCGGTCCCCCGCCCGGGCAGCGCGCAGCCCCGTGCTCAGGCCCCGGGCGCTGGCGGGCAGCCTTCTGCAGCTCGGGGCTGGGGTCTCGGTCCAGAGCCTTCACCTGGGACGCCTCCGTGCTCATCGCAACACACTGGCGGCGTCCCCGGGAGCTCTCCTGTCCGGCGTCGGGCAGTGGCCTGTGTGTACTTTCTTTTATGGAGAACAGAAATGCGTGCTTTTGATCAAATATCAAGGAGCCCTAGCCCTGATTTTTGTCCAGCAGTTCACATTTGGGGGACTATATATAGATTTTTTTTTAATTATAGGAGGAATATGTGCACAGATTGAAGGAGCCAATGCCTCAGAAGGGCTCCAACGTAAAAGAGAAATGGCACATACGACGTGGCAGACCGTCGCCCTCCCGGCCCCGCCCCCGGGAGAGGGGCTGCGCTTGGAGGCTCACTTCGGAGGAGAGGGCGGAAGGGACAGGCAGTGCCTCAACGGGGAGGCGCCGCGGGAGTCACGGCTGCCGCCCCCAGGGCCCCACGCGGGTGGGTGTCCGGGGTCCCGAGGTAATGCGAAGGGGAGGGCGCGCCACCTCTGCGGCAAACTCCCCCACACCCAGTCTCACCGTGAGAAAAACCATCGGCAACGCAGATGGTGGGGCGGGCACCTCTAACACACCTGACCAGCACGCCTCCCACTGTCGGCAGAGGTCCTGGGAAAGGAGGAAGGACTGGACAAGAAGCGTGCGAGGGGACCCGAGGGCTGCAGGCAGTGCGGGGCGGGGCCGATGGATGCTGGGACCAGAGGGACGTCAGTGGGAACACAGGCGAGATCCAGGGAGACCGCGGAGGGCCGATGATCGCACGGTCCGGGAGCTTTGGGTGAGGAGACAGGACAGCGCTGGGGGCAGCGGAGCGGGGTGAGGGACATGCAGGAACTCTCTGCACTGCCGTTTTTCTTTCCTCCACAAAATGAAGACACTTCAATTTTTAGAGCAATTTTAGGCTCATAGCCTCTGTGTACCGTCTTCACAGATTTCCTGTAAATCAACAATGTTCCAAATAAAAACTTTGTTTACGAAGAAACGAAAGGTTAAAATCTTCTCCCATCGTGTCTTCTGTCTCCATTGACAGAGGTAATCACTGTCAACAATTTCTGGAACATTGGTCCAGAATTCTGTGATCCATATACTTAAAAAAAAAATTTTAACCAAGACTGGGTCCTATCAGTCAGAAACCTGCTTTGGTTTCTTGCCTTCCTCATTTAATTTACGTCTGGGCGATAATTTTGTGGTGCAATAGAGCTGGACTTCATTCTTTTCAAGTAACATACTGTCCTCTTGCCAGTGTGTTCCAGTAATTCACTAAGCCAGATTCCAATGGATAGACCAGCTATTTTTGTTTTTCTTTTTTTGTTTGTTTTTGTTTCTTACTATTGTAACAAGACAGCAGAAAAAGTGTCTCAGAAAAAGTCAATAAACACAAGGGGGTAGAAAAAGGCTTAGCATTATTAACAATTTTAAAAGTATAAACCACAACGGTGCTGACATACTATTTCTAATCTATGGGATGGGCAAAGATGGAAAAGTTTGGCTGTAGCCAGCCCTGGGGAAGGTGTGGGGAAACACGCTCTTGTATTCCCACTGGGAGAGTCGGAACGGGTGGGAGCACTTCGGGAGCGATTTTGACAACACCTGCCCAAAGCTTGTCACCCGTGGGGGATGTAGTTAACCAGGAGGGAGCTGGGGTCTGCAGCCTAGGGGAACTTCCGGGAAGCTGGCAAAATTCTCCTTTCTGAGCGTGGTGTTGGTGACAAAGCTGTGTTCACTTTGAGAAAATTCCTCGAGTAACACATTCATGATTTCGACACTTCCCTGTATGTTACACTTTAATAAAAAGTTAAGATTTCAGCAGATCGCCTGCCCTCCTTTCACAAGAGATGCGTAGGATGAAAAGACGGGGAGGACTTTGTCATCATCCTCTCCCTGGATTACATATCTGGTACCCACAGAAATAGTATAGATAGACAGGTAGGAAGGTAGATGGATAGATAGACAGATGGACAGACAGACGGACAGACAGATAGATGGATGGATGGATGGATGGATGGATAGACGGATAGATAGATGGATAGATGGATAGATAGAGAGAGAGAGAGAATCTTCAAAAAATCTGCTACTAAGTTTAGTGATTTCTTATTAATATGATATTATACTTATTTATTTAAAAAAAACCAGACAGAATCATCCCTTGACCTGAATTTCTGCAAGTGGGCTAATCTGATAATGTAGACAACACACTAATTGAGGTTCTTTTTGTTTCCTAACTGCAAAGATTTAAGAAAAAAAATTCTTAGAGTGTAAATAGCGTAAGCAATTGGAGGTTGGGTTGGGAAAAGGGGGAGTGAGATGGAAGTTGACGTAGTTATTGGGTTACGCTTAATAACTCCACAACTTTCAACAGAGTCAGTTAACTGACCTTTTACTTGGGGAATATCCACAGTGAAATCAGACCCTGCCACATTCGCCAAAACCAGACTCAGGATCTGGAGAAAACAGATAAATGGGCGTCTGGGGGATGCTTGTAGCCAGTGCCTGGTGTGGAGGTGGGCAACGTGCTGCTGTAAGAATAAGAAGCAAAGGCTACCTCTCCCCTCGCAGTACAAGCCCAGGGTCGTGCTTGGGCACCGAGGAAACACACTGAGACGGATGCTCTGCCCCAGAGGGGACGTCAGCAGAGCGGGATTGGAAACCCGTACCCACGAGTGTTCTCATAAGGCCCCCAGGCAGTTCCCAGGACGGCACCTGCGAACCCTGGTCCCAAAGTTACACGAGATACGCATCCTAGTGAGCGAAAGGCACTGCCCTCCTCCTCCGCGCAGACGTCACCCGCCTCCCGCCGCCCCTCCCTCCCTCCAGTCAAGACCAGCCTTTCTTCCGGCTGCTCTTTGATAAAGCAAAGTCCCCTCTGATTTCCCCATAGTTTTCTAGCTTCTGTGTGCCACACGAGCCTTTTACATTATTAATAAAAGTTTTGAATTCGGTTACTTTGCTCCGGAGTATGAAAGCTTCTCTTTGGGGGACTTTGAAACTTGCAAGATGCAAACTTTCCATTAAGGCACTTACAGGCGAGCAGGATGGTCGTCTCCCTTTGAGCATCGGGACCGCCCACGGAACCAGCAATCGTATCTGCACCAAAAGAAAAGCACCAGAGACAACGGCTCAAAGAGCTCTGTTAGTGTGCGGGATAATTAAAAGTTTGCTGCCTTCAGACCATTGCTATGGGAACAATGCTGGGGTGCATGAGGCCCTGGGGATCTATCCTGGGGCAAGAATGATTTGGGATGTGTTTTTAAGGCTGTGTGCATTGAAGAGGGGCAGATTGGTGGTGGGAAGGTGGGGAAGGGATGAGTGTTCCAGATAGTTCCTTTGGCTCAAATCATGTGCCCAGAAGAAAATTTGCAAAGCTGTTCATAATGGACGAGCAGACTCCTAGTGCATTGTCGCTTCAAGATGGAACCGTCCTCGTATTAAACGTTTCCTTAAGAGACTGACTTTTCTCCCTTGTCAGCTGCAAACAGCAGCGTCCAGACGCACACCGGTTTGGGATGAGCGATCAGTTTGTCTTCTGCTGGGGAGAGAGATTGCGCTGGGCAGCGGGGCACAGCTAATAACCCAAAGCAACAGAATCTGGGCTTATGGCAGTTCCTCCGCCTGCAAAAATCTTTCCTGGATGTTCCGGCTCATGAGGTTTCTCTCCTTCACGGGAGACCATGTGACAGCTTGTCCCGGGGTCCACGTACCTGGTTAGAATTCTCGGTCTGGCGCTAACTGGCTGGAAGATCTTATGCAGGTCACTTGGCCTCCCAAGGTGTAAGGTCACTGGCGTTTCAGAGGACCATGATGGGGACTGCACCCGATGGGGCCCCGTCAGTGCTTGACGGCCACCGGGGGCATAGCAGGTGCCCAGGAATTAGGAATTCTCATTTATCCTTTCCTTCTCTTACTGCACTCAGAGGTCATTCCTGGGACCCTCCAGACTCCTGTGTGTTGGGAGGAAATGATCGTTAGCCCAGTGGCCTCGCTGAATTCCCACCACCCGTGGAGGCAAGTGCTACCTTTATACCCATTTCTTCAAATGGGAGACAAAGTCAGCCAGCTTGGGGAGGTCGGAGGGGGCGCTTGACCTGCTGCCTTTTGAGACTAGACCCCACGCCCTCTCCCCACCCCGTAAGCAGTCCACTAGCATGAGCTGGGCCAGTCACTGCCAGGCTCTTCCCTGCTTGTCGGTTCATTTGATTCTCATAAGAGCCTGGTGAGGCGTCATTTCCTCCACTTAACGGGGGGGAGACTCTCTGTCTGGGCTGGTCTGAGCACCACGCCAGGAAGAGGCGGCTGTCAGCTCACGGTGTGCATGCGACCCTTATCCTTTGGAACTTCCTGGACCCGGTGCCTTCAGGCAGGGCAGGGCCCACGCTGGTCGCAAAAAGCGTTTGGATTGCTTTATGGGGTGCGCTTGGGGGGCGGGGTGGGGAGGAATGAGGACCCAAATTTAGTCCAATGTTGGGGCTGCCAAAGTTCTGGACCCATTAGAGCAAACCGTAGATGTTTAGTCAATCCGGCCGTCGGAGATTCTTCCAGGAGTCATCAATTACTTTGTGAGTCACTGACAAGTCCGAGCCATTAAGAGTCCGACGACACAGGTCTGCCACGCTGGCAGCGTCGCGTGCCCTCCTCCCTGATCCCTTCACCCGTTCCCAGCTGCTACAGCCGAACGCCGTGTGTTGTGCCGTTAACACGTGCGATTTTGCTGACTTCGGCGTTTTCCCCAGAACCTACTTTGGCCTTAGAATCGATGCTTTCTCGAGCATTTCCTTCTGGCTCTCACAGCACCCCACGAGGCAGGACAGAGCCTGCGGAGACCAGCACCAGGGGGCGGGGGTTCCAGCTCTGGACACCGAGTCATTTCCTAGACCAGCGGCTGGATCGCAGACTCAGGTTTCATTGTTTACTCACGGCCTTGGTGTGAGCGTGGTTCCAGGCTGGCTGGTGGAGTCGCCCCGTGGTGGGTGCTGGTGGGTGAAAAATCGTTCTCCCGCAGCGAGGCCGAGCAATGCCCTCATGTGAAGCTGGGGCTCCACTGGGACAAGGTCGTGTTCTCTGGAGCGCCGCTGTCAATTCCACAGGACGCCCACCTCAACTTGTAGATTGAGGGCGGCCAACTCACATGCTCCCAGGTCCAGCCGGCTGACTTCAAGGGCTGTGGCATGGCTGGGGTGGCCAGCAGGTGCGACAGGTGAGGACTGTTGCAAACGGAGGGGACACGCGCTCTGCCCAGACGGGCAGCCAGGGCCTGGCACCACCAAACCGCCTTGACATGGGAAGGTTGGCCCAAGAGCACATAACAGGCCAGCGGTTCATGAGAACCAGAAATGAAGGGTTGGGCCACATCTCCAGACCTTGGCAGAACCAAGAGCGTCTGTTCATTAAATAACTTCCGACGCCCCAAGGAATAACCAGTAACCTTCCGTCTGCCTCAGAACCAGTCAGACCCAGCCGTTCCTCTTGCATTTCTTGTTTCTTGTGGAGCATCTCCTGGGCTCCACGGCACTGCATTAGGCTCTGGGGGAGGGATGGTGGATGAGACAGCTCAGAGGACCATCAGCCCTCGGAGCTTCAGACCCCTCGCGAGGGCAGTGCCGGCCCTTCCGGTCGGGTTCCTGTCCCTCAGCAGCACGCCCTTAGGGCTCATCCAAGCTGCAGCCTGTGTCACAGCCCCTCCCCTGCTGAGGCTGGCGACCCCTCCCTTGTGTGTCACTGCCACGTCTCCTTCATCTGCTGCCCCGCCCATGGACACTTCGCTGGCTTCCACCTCTTGGTTATTGTAAGTAACGCTGCTGTGAACACGGGCGTGCCCGTGTCTCCTCGAGACCCGTTTTCAGCTCTTTTCGGTGTATATTCAGAAGCAGGATGGCTGGAGCCGATGGAGATTCTGTTTACTCCTTTTAGGACCCTCCGTACTGTTTCCCGCTGTGGCTGCACAATTTTCCTACTGCCCCACTTTTGACGGAGACATGAAACAGAGTATTTGCTCCCGTGA